TTTGAACCAAGAAAAAATCACATCACCCTGTCTAACAGCCCTAGTGGGGTAAGACAGGGTACGCACGTTAATTCTATGGGGAACTTAAAAAGACTAGAATTTCAATAAAAAAATAACAGTTATTTCTGTTTTATATTCTACTATTATTGTATAATATTATACAATTACTATTTTACAAAAAATTATAAGTGTCACCTTTTTCGTTATTGCAAAATTTAATACGGTAACAACAAAATTTAATACGGTAGCCATTATGCACACAAGCTCAATATACATATAAATTTCAAAATGTAAAGAAAACATGGAAAAATTACAGAACAATATAAAAGGGAAAAAGAAACATATTAATGAAAATAATAAAAATCCGGAAAAAATCCAAAAAAAGGAGAAAAAAATTAATAAAAACCCGGAAAACAAAAGATATAATCTTTTCATCAGCTCACACGATTATATCCGCAAAAGAAGTGCCCTCGAATATTGTATCAATATAGCCAAAGCAAAATATATCAATACAATAGTGTGAGGAGCACCGAAAAAAATTTACAAAAATATTAGCAACAAATAGAATAGACCACATTAGGTATAAACATCACCTCGTAACAAAAAAAAATATGAATAAAAAACAGAATAAAGCATGAAGCAAAATCTTTAAAGCGATTAGCAAATTCAAATAAACTTACAGGAACGGGGAATTTTTTAAGAACGATTTAAAATATTTTCGTAAGAAGATTGCCAGATTACAAAAGTTGAAAACAGAAGCGCAAATTTAGGTAAAAGCGTAAATAGAGGAGTTTTGTTTTATAGTTTGTTCTTACTACAGTGCTGAAGTGCGTTCGATTCGTACGCTACCAAGGGTGGGCCCGAAAATGGATGTGCGCAAGCTGATATTATACTGGATAATATAAAGAAGTTGACAATTACTAATTTTAGAAAATTAATAATTTTAGAAATTTAACTTTTATTTAAGAAAAAAATATAAGGTGAATTAGAAAAGAGAAATAAATTCTTTTAAAATGAAAGAGTGATTTCCCCTACTCAAAAAAGAGTGAAATTTTTTTAACTCAACTTGAATGAAATACACCTGTATTTGAACGAAATTTTTCCTTTGCGTTTAACCGAACTTAAGCGGTATATATTTGAGCGATATTTGTGCGGTTTTCTCTCAAACTTGAGTGAGTTATTTATTATTTAATCATGTGCGAGCTATAAGATGGAATTTCCATCGTTTTATTTTAAAAAGCAAACGATAATAAATGTAAATAAAAAAAATTTGTTCTGTGATCTAAATAGATTATGTGTTCGCTTTAATTTTACGCTTAATTTTTTTTTCTGGAGAATATGTCACTTAATATTTTAAATTGAGAAGAATTAAAACAACTTTTAGTTAACAGCGGTATTTAAAAAACTTAAATAGCATTTTGAATTTTTCTGTTTTCATCCGGTGTTAAGATTTTATTTAATTGGAATTCAGAATTGATACTATTTTCGTATTTCATAAAGTATTTATCACATTATACAACATATTTTTCTGTTGTTCCTAGCATAAAATTTCTTACAACTTTTCTTCGAGTTCAGTTTTCGAGGCGAAATTGAAAAGAATTAATTTTTGATTAAAAGTACAATGCTAATTAAAGTATTTTATAGTACAAATAAATTAGAATTTCACAATAGTTATAGATTAATAGTAAAAAAAGGGGAGCAGTATGAAAAATAATATTTATTAGGAGATTGAATTCAATATATATATACACACATACTCACTGTTAATAAAAAATTTGTTACATTTTAAAAAGTTAAAAATGTTTAAAATTTTGTACTTAAGTCTGCCACAAAGCTTAGATTATTTATTAATTTTTACATGTTCATGCTTACTTCTTTCATTCTGAGTTTTGACACTGACGAATATTCTTCATTTCAGAATTGAAATTATATTATGTCTATTTAGGTTACATTATTTGTGATCTTTTCACAATGATTAACTGTATTCATAGGTAAAATAATGAAAGAACTTTGAGAACATTTTGTAAAACATATTTTATGAATGAAATAAATCAGATAACTATTAATTTTTTTAACATTAATAGGTTTCGTCTTGTTCCTTTTCCAAGTTTGAAAAATCACCCTACCTATTGCACTACTATTAATTCAAAAGTTGGTGATCCTGAAGCCAAAGATGTTATTTATCCGAAATCACTGGGCAAGTAAATTTTTTTTCCATAACGCTTAATACCTATCGTACACTTATAAGAAGTTTCTGGATTCTCAGACGTCAGTTTGCAACGTGTCAGGTTAATTAAAAATGTTCTAGTATTTTCTATCCGGATCGAAATTTTTAGGCTTGTTATAATAAGCCTCAACGCCTTTTGACTATTTAAAAAAATAGTTACTATAATCCTAGAATTACAGGGGTTTATTACAATGAGCTTTGGCCTCTGCCGTTTCTTTGAATTGAGAGTCAATGTAAAATAAAATTTTTTAAATTATATATTTCGTTTGAATTCTTTTTTTATAGGTTGTTTGAATTTTTTACTTCGCTCGGTTCATTTCTATAAAATTTCCCGATTTTGTAGACTCATTTGAAATGTGAGCACAGTAAGAGAGAGTGGGGTCAATTGTAACATTTTTTACTTAACTATTTTTAACTAACAAAAATTCCAATATATTATTAGTATTAATTGACAGACGAGTAAAGTAAACTATCCTCTACTAGAAAAAAAAAACCTTATTTTAAATGTTATTATATTAGTTATTAACAATTTTTGACAGTCGTGCACTTGTTACAATTGTCCCCACTTACAGGGTCAATTGTAAAAGTTCATAAATTCCACTAAAACATAGTTAATTATACATATTATCATAGTTGTGAAATATTTTTTTATTAATCAAAATAGTAGTGATATTTTAGGAGTAAAAATAACAATGAGCAAAGACCTAAAGGGTTAAACTTTTTACTTTAAGGGGTTAAAATTTTTAATTTATGCTGTGAAAGGTAACAAATAAAATAATGCACATGCAACATAATATAAAAGATATAAGAAACTAATGGTGGTTCTTAAAGAGTTAAGTAATGGTTTGTAAACATAAGATTATTTATTTTCAGCTGTTACAACCGTCCCCAAGACGCCATTTCAGCTTCATTTGTTAAAAAAAATGCTAGTTAATTAACAAAACTAATCTTTTCTTTTTAAATATTAATTAAGGTGTCCACTTGCATATTCGGTTAAAAATTTTTATTTGTTTAAGCAAAATTACTTTGTTACAAATGTAATATTCTAATACCAAAAAAAAGTACTTACGTAGCGTGAAAATATCTTTTGTGATGTAACTCTTTTAAAAGTACATAAAAGTGGTAGGCAACAGGGGTGTATATGTTGATTTACTAAATACACCTTGGGTGCCACCTAGGAACCAAATCTAGAACCCGACACTCGAAATTTTTGCTCTGTTACAATCGTTTAAACCTTAGAAAGTTAACAAAATTTTGATTGAATTAAAAAGTTCACATTCTATGTTTATCTCTAATTTAGCTTTGGCATTAATTGAATTTACAAAAATATTTTTCTGATATAAATCTGCAAAACGCAGAACTTCAGAGTCGAATATAGTTTTGTAGAGTTTAAGACGAAAAGATTTATCGATTCCAAAGCTGCTTAGTTAAAAGCTATTACTTACAGGTAAAAGAGAAAGTCAATAAATTTTTAATCTTATAAAAATTGTTTAGACAAATATTTATACTCCTGTAAATAAAATATTACTCAAATGATTATTATGAAAATTATCTTTTTTGTAGTTCTTTTTTCAAAATTAACATGCTACATTTGTAAATGTTTGAATCTTTGCTTGATTGAAATATTGAAAAAAAATACGGAAAATTGTATAAACTATTAAAAACATTTATGTTAATGAATAAGTTATTAATTAATTTCAATTTGAATATTTTTAGAATTGAGTAATAAATACCAAAATGAAATTTATTAGCTAAGTTTCCGATGACCCTCAGAAATCAACCTCTCTTAGATCAACCCCATTGAAAATTTAATAAAAATAATTTTAAAAAAAAATTAACAAACAACAGCTTTTCTAACAGTTTGAACGAAACTGCATGAAAAAAAAAACACTTGGGGAAACTTATAAGAATCAAGCTTATATAGTCTTGGCTATTTTTGCATTTACACATTATGTTTATTTTATCTAAAGTATTTTCGAAAACCACCAAATTTTCATTTGCTTAAAAATTTTTTATGGAAAATTCTCGTAACACTTTTTATTGTTCAGTAGTGTAGGAAAATTTTTTTTACCTCTGACCTCATCATTATTGTGTGAAAATAACATTTCTTTAAATGCCAACATTCATTTTTATTTTCGGTACCTTTTTTGTTCAGATCGGTATTTGTCGATTACAGCAAGACATTACAGTTCTCTTTTGACCTCTATGCGGCCACAAGAAGCCGAAATTCATGGGTAGCCATTTCCAGAAAGCTTTATGAGAGACTGCTGTTTGCAAGAAGACCCGCTGTTTGAGTCCTTGCTGACTTCTAACAGAAGAGTCATTTTTTGGATGGTGCAGGAATAACAGAAACAGGAGCATGGATTAATGATCAAATGTTTTATTCACCGATGAGTTCCGTTTCAGCCTAACCACTGACTCTAGACGTACTTTTATATGTATAGAGATCCAGAGACTCGATACCAGCTCTCCAGTATCCGAAAGAGTGACTGACTTTTTCTGGTCTGGGCAGGCATAATTCTGGATACCCTCACTCCTCTTCATGTCATTGTAAGAAGCAATTTCCTCAAGAAATTGCAATAGCACAAAAAAACTGGTTGGGACATTGAAATTATTTTCTTCTACTCTCCTCTGCTCATGGATAACTTTCAACGTGAACAACTGTTCAACTTTCTTATATTGCAAAATTTCTGTTTTATATATAAAACGAAACAGTATATAAAAAAAGGTAAAATCTTCTTCAATGAACAAGGTAAGAGCTTATTGATAGTATATGGGCGTGCTTTATTATGGTGGTAAATAAATTTATTATAGTATCACTTTGTTTTTCTTCTGTGTCACACAAATGTTATTCATTACCAAAGAAAAAAATGCTAGAATCTCATTTACTGATTTTCAACAGAGGGAACTGGTAGACCAAGTTTGATTTTCCAACAGAAAAACCCCTTTATTCATATTTCTAAATATTGCTATTATTTTTATGTTATAATATGTTCTTTCCCTTGACCATAATCCCGTACAATACTTGAAGAGGCATCCTTAGTAAGACTCTATATGTAAAAAGAAATAGTTTCCATCTGAGTCAGAATCGAACGCTGACATCAAGACATGGCATAATATTGGTACTACTGTCCTTCAGGTATCAGTAAACTGTGTACAATATCGAATATTTCAAGCTATCAACAAATATGGAGCATATTTTAGCTATTCTCAAAATTGGCTTTATTTCGGAGGGACTTTCTTCCTCCTTTTGAGTATCGGATTTTGTTTTTATACAGATAGAGAAGGTGAGTTACACCCTTGGAATGTGTATTTATATATACACTTCCTGAATGTACATATTTCGATCTTATTAATATTCTTTGTGTCTAGGTGAAGTACAAAATCAATGCAGATTTGTTTCATTGGGACACACAGTAATATTTATTTTTTATCCACTTCTGTTAAGCCTTTTCGAATTTGTCTTCATATGTTAATTCAGAAATTTAAATTGATTTTAAAAATTAGTGGATAAATGCATCTTAAACTAACTGTTCTTGATATTAATTGCATCGTAAAAATAACAAACTGACTTTTACATGCGTTACATCATGGATTATTACAAATATCGAACACCAAAATTGGGGAAACTTAACTGCTTTCCTCTAATATGTGAACAATCCTGGACTTTCACGGAGCTAAAAACTGTCATTGAAGTTCGATTACACAAAGAAGTTTCCCTGACTTTTTATAACAATACTTTTGGGGTAAAAACCATAATTTATAATGATAAGATACTCTAAAAAATTATACTTTGAACCCACGTGTTTCAATTGGGAATTTTCATTGTTATTATGAGTGAATTAAATGTATTTTTTACTCACTTCTGCAGATATTGATATCTCTCTTCTCACACATCCTGAGGACTACTATCTGTATGAGGATGAAGTTTTTTTCTACGCAACGGTACAGGAGAGCAGACAGTTAATCAATCCTTTCAAAGAAGGTTACGAATTGTACGGAGGACAGGTATATGAGGCCAGCGTTGCAATGGTAATATTTTTTTTTTAATCTTAGTAATACCGTTCAACTTTGTGACGCAATCAAGCATATTAAAAAAATAAGAGTTTGAATGTTTGTCTTTTTTTTATTACCAAAACCTCTTGTGCCAGACTCCTGAAATATGGCCAGCAGATGCGACAATGATCATTATTCTTCCGTCCCTAAACATTTCACATATTTCAAATGGATCATTTAGGATAATTGTATGAGAAATGTACTTTTTTCATAGGTTTAGCATTAATTATTGGTTTGTTTTTTATTTTCAAACATTTAAAACACAATATTAGTAATGTTTGCTATTTCTAATAAACTTTATACTCAACTCTAGTCTTAACTCCAGTTAATAAAAAAAAGGAGTTTATTTCTCGTTCATATCACATATATAATTATCTTTATCCAATGTCAGATCAGCTCAATGATCAACAAGAATAGGGTGTCATGTACGAAATACGTCAACAAAATGTTCTTCAATGGTTATCAGAATTCACAAGCAATATATTAATATTGATGGCAACGCATTTAAAATTATTTTTTTTTAAAACTATGTAATTTAAATTTAATGGAATTTAAATTAAGAATAAAACTGGTTCAGTGCTAAAAATAAAATAAATGCAGAAAAAGTATAGTTTGTTTACTGTAAAATCTTCCACCGCCACGAAGTCTGAGACCATCTGCTGTTATTTAAACAAGAATAGCGCATTTCAGGGAGAGTAGTTTCTCTTCACTCTTAAAGACTAATACAATAGACCGATGAAAAATATTCCCTTTCCCTCATCGAAGTGCCGAAACCTGTCCTAAACAACGAGCCCAAGTCTCTACTTAAAACAGTTATACCTCGGTAGATACTGTCACGGGTCTAGCCGACTAGCTAGGGGAGTTATTACTTTAGATACTTTTCGGAGAACTTTAAGATATAGCCATAGAATTATTGCCGCTGATGACGCTTAATTAATTTTGATAACCATGTTATTATAGTATGTTATTATAGTACCAAATCATTATGTTAGGTACTAATAAAGGAACTTAATTTAATTAAAGATACTTAAAAATACTTACCTAATTGTCTGATATGGGTAATGAACTAGACTTTTCTTGGTTTCCCATAAAAGATAAAATTCCGGAAAAATGTCTTGATTATGGCAAATGTGAACTATCATTAAATAGGCTCGAGCTATAGTATTGCGGCACACGAATGTATTGAACTTTAATTTGATAGAGTGAACATGTTTTGCTCAATCCAATAACGCAGAACCACCCTAAGGAACAACAAATAAAAATAATAAAAACTAGCAATTATTTTATCTTCATCTATTATGTTGGTTTCAGTTTTGTGCAAGATTAAGTATTTTCAGAAAATATCTCCTGTCAAAAACGGATTTTAAGTTAGTCCTAAAGTGAATGAAGCATCGATATTGTTACTTCAATAGCAACCAGCAAAATCTTTTTTTTCCTTTCTTTTTGTAAAAAAAAAACAGAATAAGGTAACTGACAAACGATGCAGGAAAAAAATATGGAACAAAATAAATCCACGAAATTACAGATATTAAACCAAACATTTAATAATTATTTAAAGCAGAAAAAAGTGAAAATTCTCTAATTATTTTGTTTTTAATTTTATACACAAAACAGAAAATGTTCAAATTGCTGTTAAAAAAACTATTAGATGCGGTGATCTACGAACTTACAGTCTCAGTACCGACTTTCTAAAACAACATTATGAAAAATTTCAATTTTAACACCAAATGGGAAATGGCACATTTTAAGTTAAAAATAATCGAAAATTAAATATTATCTCTAAGTTTAAAAACAATTTGCATTTGCATATTTTGAACCATTACATTATAATTAAGTAACAGTCTTAAAATTGTATTATGCATAGATAAGATGTCTAAATGAAAAATAAGACTTTCCAAAAGTTGGAAAAGTTTTGCAGTTATTTAATTTTTAGTGAGTGACTTCATGCGAAGCTTTCATATGCACTGCATCTTTTTCTATTACTATAAGAAGAGAAGTAAAGTTTCACCCCTAGCCTCAAAAGTGTAAAAATGCAGAAAGTATGTATTCTCTGCACAATCTACGTTAATGTCGGAATTACTTTTAAACTTTATCGGGGAAGTTAAACTTTGCAGTAAAATATATAAATAATAACAAAAAAAAATAATAAAATATCAGTTACATCTTTAAACGAAAAATTACTACTTTACTAGGATTTAAAACAAAGAAGAGAAGAAAAAAATGTTGAAGTTTCAATCTGCAGAAATGAATAATTTGAGAGATTCGTTGGCATCAAACTTAAATCAGTAATTGACATTCCTAGATATCATTGTTTTTTAAGTGCCTAATCTTGACTTTCATTTAATGAAAAAGAAATTTGATAGATTTTTTTTTTATTACAAAGCAATTTGCCAGATTCCTTTTTTATTACAAGGCAATTTGCACGATTTTTCTTTTTTGCGTAATAGTTTTTGAGGTTAGTGGGTTTTTCTACTTAATAGAAATTTTTTGTTGGTTACTTTATTACAAAGTTCTTAAAATGAGTATTTTTTTAAAGAAAAAATTAGACTGTGCAGGAAACTTTTATTGCAGTGAAAATAAGTAGGCTCTATTATAAAAATCAAGTAACACAACGCATATGTTTTAATCATGCGAGTATATATCTTTCTTTTCATTATTATATTTTTAATTTCATCAAAATAATTTTATTTTCAGACTCAAATTGAAAGGCTTCCACCTCCATACAGTACCAATTGTTTTGACTATATCAAAGCGTGGAAAGAAAATAATGGCAGTGGACCGACAACTCAAGCAGTAAGTTAGATAATCGAATGAAAAATTAGGTAATCCCTACAGAAATTTGGAATATTATATTATATTACATTCGTTGAACAGCCGACCCAATTTAGGGTTAACGGCTACTAATGTTCCACATCATAGCCTTGTCATTTTGAACCCAATCTAGAAGACAAGGGAACTCCCGGATCAATTATTGGAAGAAATTTGCCTTCGTAGAGGACATTTTGATGGAACTAATCGGCATTTGCGTTACATGGAAAGGAACACCACGAAAACCTTACTAGGTTAACCTGACGCAAAGGGACTGTTACCTATGATACGCCTACCACTGAGGCTATTTTATGTCAGCACTGTGATCGGTGCGAGCCGGGTGCGGAACTCGAATTGACTAGCTATTGCTGCTTTCGAACCCGGGTCACCTCATTGGGAGGCGAGTGCTCTATCCCCTGAGCCGCCACTGTTTAGAAATAAGGAATAGTTTAATTTAATAGTGCTCGCTTTTGGACTTGATGGCCATCAAAATTCTGTGAGAAAGTGATTTCACGTAGTTTTGTAGGTACAGAGCATCCAGTTTAAAGCACTCTCTGAGACTGTTGATTGCGTAAATTCATAAAAAAACGGGTATAGCGTCATTTTTGCGGTTCTGACATGTATTACAGATGAAAAAGAGACTATTGATGCAGTTAAAGTCAGGTAATTATTCACGTTGATCGAGTTGTTATAGGCTGAGCGTGAGTGTCAATAAAAACAGTTAACTTTTCTTTCACCCCGATGAACTTTGCTATTGTCATCTTGAAGGAATAACGTATTCATTCTGAAGACGTTGACGGAAAGACAAAACACCTTTATCCATAATGATAAAATAAACAGTATTTCATCAACTAAGTGAGCAAGCCCAATCCATAATAATTAGAACACCCCCAAAACATCACAGACTTCATGATGCTTTTCACAATTTCTGCAGGTGGGACATTAAAAAACTACAATTTTCGACAGGTATTTTCTTGAAAGGGAAATTTTTTTTTATATTTGTAAAAAAGATATTTCAAGCATTGGTACGTGCTTACGGTGTGTTTTTTGAGGAATATTTTAATAACAACTGTTGTAGTGTGATAAAATTGGTGGAGCCGTTTTGAGTGATTTCCTTTTCTTTAAGTAATGCGTTATGGAACCCTCAAATATCCACGCAAAGCTTTTTCAAGCCAATTAGTTAAATTATGATGGATGACAACGTTACTTTTTTTATAATTTCAAAAGTCTTCATTTTTTAAGTGACAGTCTATTTTATAACAAATAATTTTCTTAGAGTTTACATCATAAAATCAATTTTGCAGCTAATTGTTTTGACGAAGCAATTATTTCTCCACTACTAATTCGCAACGGATTGAACACCTTAAACAAATTTTTAACCTTTCTAAGAAAAAATACTTAAAGTTAAAAAAAATCTAAATGCACATTTGTATTGCTCTCATGCTGCAAGATTTCTTGGGTCTTATTGGACCCAAGAAATCTTGCAGCAATGTCAATAAAAAATGTATCAATGATTATGTACAAATATCGAATCTATTAAATATTTTGTTACAACAAATTATACTCCTTAGCAATGGACTAAAATATACTTGCTGAAAACATCATTAATTTATAAACACATACACTCATTGAAACTTTTTCATCCATATCATGTTATATTTTATTGAGTCTGTGAAAGTGGTGTTAGAGCTGTTAGTTAAAAAAGGTGATATATCTGGTGTGTGTTATTTATGCTGTGACTGACACTATTTATGAAAAAAATGGTACTTCTGAGCTGGAATGAGGGTTCTATTTCTACAGATACTGAAGAGGATTCGTTAAACAAATTTCATCATAAACTATTCGGGTAAATTTAAAGCCGTGGTGGCTCAAGGAATAATTCGAATTCCAGCGATGGTTAGTCGAAAAGTATTAAGCACCCGTACCACAACGACCACAGTTCTGATTCAAAATATTTTCAGCGGTAGACGGATCATGGGTTAGAATCCCCCTGTCACCAGGCTAATATTGACCTTTCTATGTAATGGAAATTCATCAAAAATTCTTCCACGATGGCAAGTTTGTCTGAATACTTTATTCCCTTGTCTTCTGAATTGGGTTCAAAGTTACAAGGCTACGGACTTTAACATCGGTAGTCGTTAACTCAAAATTGGGTAGGTTTTTTAACGACTGTTATAAAATATACACACGGATCATGCAGCATTAGTTGGGCTTAATTATGTTAAAATATTTAAAATAAAGTTTGCTTCACTGGTCCTTACGTTTGCGTTTGTATGATTGTAATAACAAATATGCAAAAGGATTGACAAATATTGAAACAGATATGTTTTTGCAAAGAGACACCAGATCAAAAATTGAGTGCAAATAATGGTGAAAGTCAGGCATTACATCGTTTCCAATTAAGTTAAATTACTACGGCTTAAAAAAAAATTTCAGGAAATTTTATAGAAATTAAAAAATTCTTATGCCATCGTAAAAATGGTTTACAAAAACTGTAGTACATTTTTTATTGGGACTAACTTTTTTTAAAGCTACTCGTAAAAATTTAAATTTCCTTGTATATCATTATGAAACAATTATTATGTCATTATGGTCAATTATGAAGCAATTAAAAAATATTTTCCTAACATATACAAAATGTGATCTTGACCAAATTTCAATAATGAAAAGAAACAACTTAAAAAAATCAGAACTGGTAAAAAATTTCAAACAGTTTATCGTAAATTAGTAAAATATCAAAAGAAGTGTGAATTAATAGAATCTGAAAACAAATCCATACAGGTACATTTTACTTTAAACGTTTAAGTTTACAATAGCCCAGCAGCAAAATGGGGAAAACCGATAAAATTTTATTTGAATAAAAGTAAATTATTGACGTTCACAAGCATACTGCTTGTTTTGGAGCTCAAAAAAATTTAATCTAAAGAAAAAGAAAATCAGTTCAAAATAATAATGAAGAACTCAAGATTCGTGTATTTTAAAGCAAACATTATAATTAGTTTTGAATATGTTTCGAATTACAGTTTATATTTTTTGTAATATATCATTCTTTTTGAGGGAATTAGAAAGTTTTATTTCGAAAATGAGGCTTATTTTGTAAATGTGTTTACAAACATGGACGCAACAAGGTTGCTACGGGTTATTACTAGGCAGCTACGGTGGAATTTACATTTTTAAAATTCGCGTCATCGCTCAGTGTTCTGAATAACGAAGACATCACTTGAAAAGTTTCAACTCTAATACAAAGTTAGAAAACGAGTAATAGCTCTGACCCCGAAGGCAGAAACTCTTCGTTAACATGCATTTCGAGTTGCATTCATCTTCGTAAACATGCATTTCGAGCAATGGTAAGCTTCTTAAATACGCTTGAATGCTTACAAAATTAAAAAAAAGCTCTATGACGAATTAAACTAGACTTCTGTATTTTATGATATGTTATTTATACATCGATATTTTCTCATTTTTGTTAAAGGAATGTATTCAGTATTGCAATTTGGAAACAGCCTCTACAGAAGACCTCTGTATAACTGAACGAATTTACATTTCACATACTAACAGAGTTTGTCCTTTTTGTAAGTATCAATAGTGTTGCCATTCTACGATTTTTTTATGTTGTAATTGTTGCAATGCTCAACAAAAACACTCGAATTCATTTTCATGGATGTCGCAGATTGTAAATAAACATGTTGCTCTCATATTTACAATTGTTAATATCCTAGTGTTGATATTTGAGTAATATTGATTTCGCTTTTATTTGCTGTGAATTTGCACAGTCAGTAAATAATGCGTGATTATAGTAAAATTTATCATAAATAGAGTGCTTTCATGATTTTGCTTTATTCTACCAAAAACACTATCTATTTTTAAAACAAGCAAGTTATTAAAAATAATACGATTTTGCATATAGTTTGATTTATATTGTAAAATGAATTGTTCATGAGTCTAATTATGTAGTGATTCCAGTGAAAAAAATTGTTTTCTTAACTTTTAAGTAAAAATTATCTCAAATACATACTGTCCCCTCTGTTACAATTATTCTTTTAAGTTTATTTTATTCATTACACAAAAAACTTTTTAACTTAATATTTGTTTTTTGCAATAAAATCTATTAGTACAATCACGTTTTGTTACATTTTTGAAAAAATTTAAACATTTTAAAGTCTGTCATACAACAGAGGGGACGTAACAGAGACGACAAAACTAAATGTCCCCTCAGTTACACAGAATTGATAGGCTGACCATTAAAGACAAACTGTAGGAATGTATACAAGTGCTTATGAATCTTGATTTAACTAGTTTCAAATAGTTCCTCTACTTTTAAAGCACACCTTTTTACACAAAGCTGTGCCATTTTTATTTAATATTAGTATTTGAATTTAAAAAAAGGGGGGTTGGAATTTTAAAAGTCTTATAAAACTTTATTTTACCTTGAAATGTGATAATTTAAAAAAAAATTACAGATAATGTTTAGGATGGTCCAAATCACAGAATTTAGAATAAATAACAGTGCCTGTCAAAAATGTGGGATTTTATTTGTCCCCTCTGTTTCAAGTACTTTTACTTAACTTGCAATTTAATTATGAGGTTCGTTTATTATTCTATGCCAATTAATAAAACATTGCACCCTGAAGTAGCATATTCCAGTAGAATTTTTGTTTTCAAAAACATTTAATATATTTTTTAGAATGAAATACTTGTGCGATTTCCCCTCTGTTACACTTGGAATTAAACTAAGATTATTGGAAGAAGTTCTAAAATTTGAATAAACAGTATTTACAGTCAAGTGTCAAATCGATTCTTTCAGAGAGTGAAGGAAGCTAAATTTAAAAGCTCTCTCAATAAGAGTAACGGGTATGTGTAATGTTATGTAGACTAAAGAACGAAAACAACGTAACTAAAGTACGAATGGAAATAAGCATACTATAGTTTCGGTTCTATAAACAAGAATATCACCGCAACTTGTTCAAACAGTTTTCTCCACAATGAAGATCTTTTTTAGCTTAAAATAGACATGGTTTTCCTACAAATATTGCTGATTTTAAATGTAGAAAAGTAATCTCGCAATCCACTATATAGCTCGTATTCGAATTAATAGTTTGATTGTTTCGCTTTGTTATCCGAATACTAGTTCGTAAATTGTATCTGGAATACATAAGAGTTAAAAGTCGCTTTGACCCTTTAAATAATGAAATTTTAATAACATTAAAGACCCTAGTGCTGAAATTACTAAATGTTTTTTTCCTTACCAAACTTTGTGTTAATGTGGCGTTGCGTAGATTGGAAAAACATAACCTACCCTTAAACTTCAGTTTAAAGAACACGAAAGATACTTAAAAAATCAGGACATTAACCGATCTTCCCCCAGCTTACATGCTTACACTGTTACTTCGTCAGTGACCAAACTTAATTTCTGAGAATCATGCAATATTTGGAAAAATTCTAATTTTTAACTTAATGATCTTTCTAGTATCTCAACGTTTCCAAATATGTGGAAAAGTATTCCAATTTAATCTTTTGCCTTCTGGAGCTCCATCAAATCCACTTTCACCTGTTTTTCCTTCTCCATTTTTTCATTAGCTTGTTCCCCTGTCCCTATTGGGTTAAACCAGCTTGCGCGTGATTGCGTCTTTGCTTCTCGTCTAACATTTGGTGTTCAGATACCAAAGACTGTTTACAGATGCGAAACTATAGTATGTTTTTTTCGGCACTTTAAGTTGTGCTTTTTTCTGCGTCGTTGTTGTTTGCTGAGGTTTTCATAGAATAAAGTATACCGTATAATAATTTGACGTAATATAATTACTGTACAATAATTTGACGGTATTGTCCTAAAATTTTATAGTGGAAGTGAACAATAACACATGTTTAACACATTTATAACAGCCACAATTTATTATATTTTAAAGAAAAATATGTTATCTTAAGAAAGGAGATTCCTACTCGGGTAAACGCGAATTTATTACTTAATTTACGACTTAAATGTTTCATTGAACATTGGGTTCTCTGGTAATATTGAACTGTTCACGCTTTCTCCATGTAATTATTTGTTCTTATAAATTAATTAAAGGTAAATTAGAGATTAACATACCAAAGTGATTATTAAAATATGTGACACTTTATCTCCCATAGTAAAAAAAATGAATAAAAATAGTCTATTAGTCTAAAGCAAAAATTAAGAAGTTGCTTTTCCACTAGAAAAACCTCGTTTTTTAGTCTGCTTTTTCAGTTTCTAGAGTTTCGTATTGTAAATATATATGAAAGTGTAAAATAGTTTTGCGAATCAACTAAAATTTACATAGAATGATAGACAACAGAAATATTCCTACTCTAGCTCAGTCTGCCTAACTTATACAGTTTGGTAGAAGCCATTTTTAAGTACTTACGGAAAATTAAATTCTTGAGTTTCTCCCCTTACAGACATTTTGTTGATTACATTATTTTTTTAAATATCTTATAAGTAATTAATTTAACGGAAATATTTTCAGGGTTAATAGCTACACCGGTAACATCAGAAGATGATATTATTAAAAAATGTACCCAGCGTTGTCAGCCAGCTTGTTTGTAAGTATCAATCTATAAAGTTGCTTCCTTATAATGTTTCAAAAATCATTATTTGAGTTTATCCCCCAATCACAATTTTTTATACCTTAAGCAATCTATTAGAAGAAACCTGCCCATTCGAATGAATTATCACAAAACACCATAAAGATGCATTTTGCAGTGTAGATGGCTTTTTCTTACACGAAATGTAAAATTTTTTTATATAACTTAGTCATTAAGTTAGGAGTCTTCAGAATTGTACTTCCCTATATACCTTTACATGCTAGTATTAATATAGAAAAGCAATCGCGTTGGTTATTTTAAACCAAATAGATATTACATTTTGGTGATCTCACAATACCGTAATATTTGCTGATGCAGATGGAATGGTTAGATATAGATTTATAAACTGAAACTTAACCCTTGCCATTGGGCTAATCATGGGATGTTTGGGCGGTTTTCCTCTTTATTTAAATCAAATGCTAATTAGTTCCATCAAAAAGTCCTCAACGAAAGCAAGATTTGCCCCAGTGCTTGATCCAGAAGTTTCCTTGTCTTCTGAGTGAGGTTCCAAATTACAAAGTTTAACATTGATCGTCATACTCAGAATTGAGTCAGCCGTTCAACACCAGTTATAATATATA